CTCCTTAAAGCTCCCACTTACCAAACTTCCCTTGAATTTAAATTGTAATGACCCAAAGTTGTGACAATGGGTATTTTTTTCTCAATTAATTACATACGTTTTTAAAATGTGTTTGAGGAAACTACCAGAAAACTCATCCGACAAAACTCAGATCTTGACATAAAAAGTACTTCAGATACAAACATTTTCAGAAGGCTTTAAATTAGTTACAAGGATTACAGTTTTGAAAGACAGTGAAGTGTTGAACACTTCAAGGAGAAAACCTGAACTTAACACAGAGGTGACTGCCCTGTATAAGAAAGAAAACTGTTCCCACAGCTCTGCATATCACTTACACAAAGCCAAACCAGAGAACCAGTTTTAGTCTCACATAACACAAACTCAGGCTATTCCAGATACAATCCCTTTTATTTCAAAGGCACTGCTTGCAGAAGTGCAGCTGTGCATATGGCATTTGCTGGACTGGGACCTTACAACAGAATAAACATCTGGTTTCAGGATTCTTTATCAGCATACATGGGAAATGGATGCACCACAGTGATACCAAAGTCCTTCCTAACCTGGATTTTAGCCAGCAGGGAAAAGCAGGGAGAAGGCTCCTGCCCCTCAGCTCCCTCATTTACTGAGGGTCTGCAACAATTCAGTCACCAGATGCTGTGTTATCAAACCCTGAACTCACGTGGAGCCAGAACAAAAAGGCCATAGGATCAACCAGTACCTACGAGATGCCAGTGCACCCATTTAGTGCAGTCTGGGAATCAAGTGAGCTGTGATTTCAGACCTGTGAGCCTGGAGAAAGGCGCAGCGCTGCTCTGCTGCATGCCTGGGCAGTCATGGGCTCAACGGGCACCGGCGGTAAAACCAGCTGGTTCTCAGAAGCACCACATTGAAGGCACCTAGTTAGAAAGAAGAAACAGTGAGGTTTGTAAAACCTACCCTGATGTCACCTATGAAATGCACGCTGCTCCCATCTGGTTGCATCTAAAAGACTGCATTCTTGTTTAAACTTGTTAAGCAAAAAATCACAAGTGCTAGCAGTAGGTTGCTGTAAGACAGCATTAACTTTTGTATTGATTTAACTTATACAAAATATAACTCAAATAGTAAACGACCCAAAATAACCTAACTCGGGCCAACATTCCCATCTGCTTCACAAGATTCTGATGCTGCAGTTTTTCTGTCTTGTTGCCTTTGTTTGTCTCTGCCACGAAGCAAATGATGTCTCACTTACCATTCAGGGGGCTGTTTGGAACGAATTTCTTCATTGTCAGTAGCAGAAATAGTTAGCACTTCTCTGCTTACAGCACTTAAATAGCTTTCAGCGTGTTTCTGCCAGAAGAGAAAAAGGTTTGGACAATTATAAAAGTATGAGGGATGCATTAACTTAGCAAACTAGATCCTCCCTTGACCAAAAAGTTTTAGGCTTTGTGCTTCTGTTGGACTCAATTAGATTTTGGCCAAAGCCAAGAAATGCAAAAGCAATCAATTCTGAGCACACCAACAAAGGGAAGCCATGGCACTGAACCACAGTGTGTGATCAGTCCTAGCATTCACTGGTCACAGAGGGAACTCCAGGACAGACACACACGGCCGTGGCTCTGATCGCTGACTTTAAAGGAGAGCCGTCCTCTGGATCTGCCCTACATTACTTACTCTCAGCCCAAACTCAGTTCTTTCAATTGCTGTTTCCAGGTCGCTGATATCCTCAGCTTCCACGTTTCCTTTCAAGCTGATGTTTTTCACTTTGTCTTTAAGCTTGTGCAGATCTTCTTGAACCTAAGAAGCAAGTCATGACAGAGGTCATTCCCATCCCCAAGCCCGTGCGGTTACACAGCAGCGTTCAACCCAAACCAACGCCTCCTGAACACAGCACAGAAATACACACAGCCTCCCTTAATTCTGCGCTTTTACAAGTGAGAGAGAAACACAACGCCAGTACATTTAAAGCCACTGATCAGGAAGAAACCTGGGGGGGAACAAAAACATCATTGAGACAACGAATCACTGTCAGTAACCATCAGGACGGTGGTGGGTCAAAGTACCCGCAGCAACATGGCACGGCACGGCACAGCACTACATAGCACAGCATGGCACGGCACTGCACTGCACTGCACGGCACGGCACGGCACTACATAGCACAGCATGGCACGGCACTGCACTGCACTGCACTACACGGCACGGCACGGCACTACATAGCACGGCACGGCACGGCACGGCACTGCACTGCACTGCACTGCACTGCACGGCACGGCACCCACCCGCAGCAGCAGCGCGGCTCCCGCCCGCTCTCCCTGCCCCGCAGTGCCGGCCATGCCCGCCGCCCGCTCCCATGGCAACGCGACGCGCGGTCCGGGCCGCACCACCAGCCTCACCGCGGGGGGAAGGCAGGGAGAAGCGGCCAGGTCGGTCGGTCGGTCGGTCAGTCGGTCCATCCCGAGCGCGGCCCCGCTCTCCCTCCCCCGGCGGCTCTCCGCTCTCCGCTCCCCCCGCAGCAGCTCTCGGCCGGCGTTTTCCCGCTCGGTCCCCGCCCGCTCCGCGCGGTGGTAGCGGCGGGCGGAAGGGGCGCGGCGGGCGGCGGGCGCCATGGCGGCGGCGGGGCCGTACGCGCTGCTGAGCAGCTGTGATGGCGGCTTCGCGGCGGAGGAGCTCGTCAGGCGTGAGTGGGAGGCGGGCGGCCGCGGCTGTGTGCCCGCTGCGAGCCCTCGCGGGGTTTCCGCTGTAAAGGCTTTACGCGGGCGGCGGGAGGCGTGGGTCGGCTGACGGTGGTGTTGAGCGCCGGTAACATCCCGCTACCGGCAGGAGGGAAAACGGGAGCAGGAAGGTCCTGAGGGCCGCGCTGCAGCCCTTTGTGCGTCGGTACGGAGCTCCGCCCTGCGCTCCTGGGACGCGGCTTCCTTTCTTACAGCTCGAGAAAGTAAAATCTGATAGCGAGAACTTGAAAGTTCAGCTGGGGCTAAAATGGGAGAGATGGCAGGAAGAAGCTGTTTGGATCTCGGTGGTTTTGCCGTGATGGCTTTTTAGGGAACTGCGATAAGTCGCTGGATGTGCGTGGTAAGATGGGCGGTTCAGCTGCTTGAAATGAGAGGCCATCCAGAGAGCCGGGGCTGTGGGCACAGGTGAACCTCACGAGGTTCATCAAATTCAAACACGAGGTTTTGCACCTGGGTTGTAGCAACCGCCAGTCTCAGTATAACTGGGGGGTGAACAGAGCACGGCCCTGCAAAGAGGGCTTGGCAGTGCTGTTGGGTGGCAGCTGGGGTGAGCCAGCAGTGTGCCCTCAGCCCAAACAGCCAACTGTGCTCTGCGCTGCATCACAGACAGCACGGCCTGCAGCTCGGGGAGGTTTCATTTCTGTGATCCTGTCCCTCTGCGCTGTGAGGTCTCACTTGGAGTTCTGCATCCAGGTGTGGAGTCCTCGGTACAGGTGAGATATGGACCTGCTGGAGCACATCCAGAGAAGGGCCACAGAAATGGTCTGAGGGGTTGAATGCCTCCTTATGAGGACAGGCTGAGAGGGGGGCTGTGCAGAACGGAGAAGGGAAGGCACTGGGGGGCCTGGCAGCAGCCTCTCCATAAGCTGATCTAGCTGTAGGTGTCCCTGTTCTTTGGTCTAGTTGGACTAAGTGACCTTTAAGGGTCCCTTCCCCCTCTAACAACTTGTCCATTCCATCTTATTAAGCCGCATTTACAAACAAGAGTGGCAATGTAAGTGTCTACAGTCAGAGATTACTCTATCAAAGAGCTAGGCTGATATGATAGACTGATAAGAATTGTAAAATTTTATTCTTGATTGCTTGTTTGTAAGGAAGCTGTAAGCATAGTGAAAAGAACTGTTCACAGTTCCTATAGGCTTTTTTTTATTTCTTGTAGTGAAATTAAGTTGGTGAAAAAGGAAGGTAAGCCAAAAGCTTGATGGAAATACCATCTGCTCTGAGAAAGTCTAAAAGCTTAACTTCCATCAGGTTTTATCTTTTCTCCAAGTTGTACTCATTTAGGAATGCCTGAGCTTGCACCATTTTCTGCTTTTTAAACAGTCTCGTGAATCCTCTTTGCAGCCTCTTGTTGAGTTGCTTTTAGAGATGTTCTTAATGCTTCTGAAATAAAGCATAGTGGAAAGAAACAACGTGAAGAACCTAAAATGCCTGCTTTGTGTAGCAGGTGTTTCAGAGCCAGGAACATAAGCAAACAGCAAAACTTGTAAGGACTTGTAGATGAGGATCAGGTGGCAGCGGATGGCTGCAGCTGATTGAGAGCTGCTGGTGAGTTGGGACAAAATGCTGCTGCAGTTCCCAGCACGCGTGCTGCTACAGCTTGCAACCAGAAACAGCAGCTTGAAGGCATGGCTTGGTAGTGGCTCAGCTTGGTGCTGAGGACAGGAGCCTTATGTTAACACATCTGAAGCAATATGATGTTTGATATGCCATAATTATGTTTAAATATGCTCTTAAATACTATATTGCATCATTGCTTATTTGAGTTCTCTTTAGTTGGTAGGAGCATTTCTTACGTTGTGTTCCACCAGGTGGCTCTCAAGGCACGGAATGGGAGCGATGTGGGGCTGGCACACCACATCCAGCTGGCAGGATGGGGAGCACTTGGCCATAGTAGAAAACTGGATTGTGCTCCTGCATGCGTTCAATCCAAAGCAAGCTAAGAAGTGCGATCAGTATTGAATCTCTTTGGCAAGGGATGAAAAGAGAAATTGCAATGATTCTGAAAAAAACAAAAGGACTAATCCAGGGGCCTTAAGCACAAAATATTAGAAGTACTTCATGTCAGTTGGTTATTAGAGCCTGGGGAACACTGCAGTAAGATGTGAGATGATCTGTGTCTGCTTCTTTGTCTCAACTTCTCAGGAAGGTTGTTTTTTACCTCTCATGGTCCTTTTGAAAAAGGAGTTGATAGGCTGGGTTTTGCAGTTCTGCATTGTCCTATTCCTTGTAAATTAAACCACTACTCAGAAGACCAAGTCTGTATGCAAGCCCTTGAAATGAGAAGTGTGAGTCCAGAGCCTGGAGTGACTCACCCTGCCCAGGGAAGCACCTGCTGCTCCAAAGAGCTTTAAAGCACGAGCAGGGCACACAGCTGTGCTCTGCCTTAATTAGCATTCAGCAGTTACTGATGAGATGGTGGGAGTTTCAATAAGTAATTTTGGTAAAATGTCCAGCATCAGTTGTTCAAGATCCTCTACAAAATGCTCAGCTTTAGATCATGGCTTTAATGATGCTAAGCCACGCTCTTCTGTAGTGCAAACTTTTCCATGCATGTTTTTAGTTCCTTATTACTGATGCATTTGGAGTCTGCCTGCATTCCTGTTGTCTGAGGAAGCTGTTTGTGCTCGATGGAGGAGTGAGGAGATGGGGAAGCCCCGTGGGCCTGCCTGCACTGCTGTCTGTGGCTGAGGTGGTTTTCCAGACCCTTTGGATGGCAAAACACTGATGCTTGCGATGGCTGGAAAGCCTGAAATGAAAAAGGAGTAACTCAGCTGAGATAAGTTTGACAAGTCACCTCCCTTTGCCGTATTTGTTTTGTGGAAGTTCATTCTGTATCCAAATAAAACATAATGGAGCTTGTTCTGATGAATGTTCTCTAAAATTAGATAGGAAACTATTCTGGCTGGATTTGCTTTTTTCCATTGAAACACAAGCTGTGTTGGGAAGAAACTCCTGGAATCCCAACGTGGCAAATATGATTTTAGGATTCGTTCTGATGTGAATTGTGTCCCTGTGAACTCAGCCTGGGCTGCAAGGTGTAGGATTTGGCAGGCTCCAAAGCCCCCACAGTAACAAGTCTAAACGTGCAGGAGGAGAGAAGCCCCCCCACAGCTCCCAGCCTGCACTTACCTTCCTGCCACAAGCCCTCAGGCAGTGCTGCAGTAATTGGTTCAGCCCCGTGTGCTCTCCCAGCCCCAGGGAGCTGGATGAAGTCCTTGCAGGGAGCTCCTGCACCCTTGGAGCTCAGCGTGCACCGTCCATTTTCACTGGCAACATCTTCTCTTGCGGTTGGCAAAATCCCTTTGGGTACAGGGCAGCAGGCAGAGGCACAGTGGGATGGATGAAGAGTGCTTCCAATGCAGGAGCAGCAGCACGTGATGGGAAGTGGGGATGTCCTACTTCTTCAGGCAGTGCTTTGAGGCCTAAGTTTGCCTACAAGCCCTTGTACAAGAAAAAAAAAATCACTTACAAGATTGGCGTAGAAATTCTTTCACACCAGTTTTTGATGTCTTTTGGAAAACGTTCTCTTTCTGTAATCTTACTTTTGCACACACCCGTTCCCAAAGTTTTACTGCTGATTTTCCAACTGTCAGCAATTCCATGGCAACAAACCATCAGAAATGTGGTTGTGCCTGAGGCATCGACCAGGAGGGACTGGTACAGCTAGGATCCTCCATTCTCCTATGGAAATAAGCAGATCAGAGTAAGCAAGCCCTTTTTTTTCCTGCTAACCCACTGCTCCTCAACTGGCAAACTTGTGAGTTTCAGCTGAGTCGAGCAGGAGCTGCCTCCATTGGCCTGAACACCCACTGATGGTGAGCTCCTGGCCTAGCAGCAATTGGCACATAGGAGATATAATCCTGTATACCACAGCTACCAAACTGCATTATGCAGAGCATGGCACTTAATTAGCTGGTGTTTCATAGCAGGAACTTGACAAAGTGCTTCTATTGTACTAGAGCATCACATTAAATCTGTGCACTGTGTAAGGTGCCATGCCATCACGTGCCACCGAGCTGCTGTGTGCTGCTTAAGAGTGAATAAAGAAGTTGCAGAACAGCAGAATTCTTTCAAAATTACTGATTTGCATTAGCTGTTCTGAAAGTCTCTCCTGTATTTGTCAGTGAACATAAGTTTACAAGCTTGTGCTCCAGAAATACAAAGTTCAGAGTCAAGATCTGCTTGGTGTTAACTCAGCAGTGTTGTCCCTGCCCCCAGGTGCTGCCTTGTCCAAGAACAGAATGCTGATTGCAGCCTAGTTGCTCCAAAAATTTATCATCCAGATTAAAAAAAAGCTGAACTTCCTTACACTAGAAAGAAGCCAGTGTGGAAACTTGGGTTTTTCTGTAAGAAGCCTGGACAGGTTTCCTCCAAGATTTGTCACACCAAGATCACATTTCCCCTCCGATTCCCCACTTCATGCTCCTCCCTGCCACAAATCCACCTGGTTTACAGCACTCCTTTGTGCTGTCCTGTGTGCCAGAGCTCAGGCACTGCTTAACCTGCCCAGGCTCCACAGTTAGCTGCCAAAATAATAATAATAATAATAATAATAATAATAATAATAATAATAATACTGAATCTACCTGTGGCAGCCCTGGCAGTGAGCTTTCCTGCCTTTAGCTGCTAAGACACAGATCAGTTCAGTCTATCTGGGGAGCAGCATGCACTGGCATCTTCAGGAATTGTCTCAGTACCTTTAAGGTATAACCTTTAAAATCTCTGAAAACATTTGTGTGTTTTTTTTTTAATAATTATTTTTTAACTCCTCTGCTCCCCAGCTGACTCAAGTGATCATATGATTCACTTATAAGATATCCATGACTGTTTATCTGGAACAAGATGTTCTGCCCTTTCCAGCAAGGTACGGCTGGGTTGCTCTGCTGCTCCCTCTAATTCAGCCCCACCAGGTGGCCGTCACACTGTGAGTGTTCTGCAAAGGTTGCTGCCAGCACACGAGGGGCAGGCAGTGCAGAGATTGCATTATCCAAGCACTGCCCTGGATTTTAATTGTTGAACTCCTACCTGGAATTTAATGGGCATTACAACCAAATTCCAGTAACTTGCTTTATTTTCTCATTAGTTACCTTGAGATTCTGGTCACAGTCAAACAGGTTTTTTTTACATCTGAATGAACACGCAAGGTTTGCTGGAATGAAGTGTAGTTATTTGCTCCATCCATCCTGCTTATAGGTAATAAGTTCAGGGCTAGCACTTTAAAACATGTTCCAGTGGAAAAAACCAACAGAACACCTTACTTTCAACAGAGCTTCTGTACCATATTTTTTTCTGAAAGCTAGAGTTTGTCTAAGACTTATAAATAATGCAATAAAATAAGAAATTGAGTTTAATTTTGTTTAATGAAAACAACGTATTTTGTTGCAACAGGTGAAGATGGCTCTGTATTGGTGTTGTACCACGCTTTTCCAGTTTAATTGTTATCTCAATGCCTGTTTGTATCATTTCTCTCATTCTATTTCTTTCACACAGGCATCACAGGAAGAGAGGACCTCAGTGTGGGTGCTACTACAGCTGGAGGAGTGAGCTTTTACCCCTGGACGATAGATAACAAGTATTACTCTGCAGACATTCACCTCTGTGTGGTGCCAAACACAGCTCTGGTCACAGGAGCCATCGCTGAATCTGTGCAGGCGTTCGTGGTGTACTTCGACAGCTCCACAGTAAGAGCTGTGCCCCGTGGTGCTTTATCTGGGTGGTACAGTTGCCTTGCTGTGATAACTACAGTTACTATTCTCTCAATCTTGTGACCTCTGTTCGTTTTGTTCTACTGATGGTCAGTAGATCAGAGGTCAGTTATTCCCACTACCAGTGGCAGCAGGAGCGTTTCCTTCCCTTCTGCTGTTTTACTCCTGCTGGAAACAAGGCTTTTCAGGATGGAAATAGGCCACTAAGTTAGGCCAGTCCTCCTCCAGCCTGTGACCTCCAGCTTTGCTCTTAGCCAATGATGGTTCAGAAAGGCTGCTTGCCAATTCTAAGTCTCGGTGCTGTCGTGGTACCTGACATTGTTTCTACAAGGCTGGTGGCAGTGAAAGCAGTGCTTTAGCAGAAGCCTGAAAGATTGAGACAAAAACCAATCTAAATAAGGAATGGTTTTATCTACAGATAGGAGAGGATGCATGCCACGCATTCTGCAAAGTTACATAGGGTAGCTCAGCACTGTCTCACATTAAACCAGGGCAGAATGTAATTCACTGGCTGCCACAACATCAGCTTGAGAGTGGAAGCTGGAATAGCTGCACATTAACCCTGAGAGCTGCTAACAGTGAACAGCAGTGACTGACATGAAGCAAAAGTCTTTCCTAATGTAAATTAAGGTTGTGTAATGAACATTAAACATGAAGGGGAGGTCCAAGGAAGCAGGTTTAACTCACCTTTAAAGTAAATCAAGAGTCATAAGGTTGCTTTTTATAATCAGTTTCCTCATTCTACTGGAGTACAGCTATTGATTAAAAACAAATGTAAGAAATGAAGTATTTGAGGATGTATTCCAAAGAACTTATTTTTCCCTTGTAGAAATCTGGGCTGGATAGTGTCTTTGAATGGCTTCCCCTGACAGAAGACTGGCTACCAGAAGTCATGATCCTGGTCTGTAACAGAGTATCAGAACATGGTATGTTGCTTTGAGGCCCAAAACTGACTTGGGATCAGTAAGCTTGCAGCACCATCATTTCTTAAATTATCTGAGTGAGAACGGACTTCTTATTTGATTGAGAAGAGCCAGGTTGTGCTCACAACTAAAAAGTCTTAAGCTAGAAATAATTACAACTGGATCAGAATTTTACAAGCTTGCTTAAAATGAACTTTGCACATCTCATTCCTGGTATACCAGTGTGCAGGGCAACGTGACTTAAGGCAGCCTAGCACTTCTGTGGAAGTACCTACTGCAAAGCCATTTGATTGTGTCATTTTTTAAAAAATTAGAGCTCAATTTGAGGCTTTTGGAACCCAATTGGAAGTGGTTGGAGGACACAAACATCTGCTACACATTTCCTCCCTCCCATTATCCACACAATCCAGAACAAGCAAACAACTTGAGGGAATAAAATTTAGCTGGAAGTTCAACTGCTGATGTTGATCTCAGGCATGTGTGCTTAGGAGGCATTTTGTTTCCCAATTTTAGGTGTTAACAGACAGAAAGCCCAAGAATGGTGCATCAAGCATGGCTTCGAACTGGTGGAACTGAGCCCTGAGGAACTACCAGATGAAGATGGTAGGATTGCTACTTGTTTTAATTTCTATAATAAAAAGACACCAGAATATCTTCAAAATGACTGCAAGGGGCATTGTGTTGTTGCTGTGCTACATGGTAACAGCATGGAATGCTCCCAGCTGGTGAGGCTCACTCTCAGCTGTGCAAAGTCAGGAGGAAAAGGTGGTTATTTCCTCTAAGACATTCCACTGGTCTCCTCCCAAATACAGCTGCTGTTTATGTGGCACCTACATAAATACATCAGATCCCTTCTCAGACACTAATCCTAGGACTGTATTGATACATAAAAAGCATTTGTGCTCCATTTTAAAATCAGTCTCAAAACAGAGCCACATAGATGCCCAAGGGAGGGAAATTCTCTGTCCTTTTGAATAGCACTTAAACTACTGCACGTACCAAGAATAGACATTATTTGGTGACACCATGGGCTGAAAAGGGTTTGAGCACTGAATTGCATTCACTGTTACACAGGAAGTAAGCCAGTTTCAGAATCACTTGCCTGGCCACGTAATTACAACTTGAAAAAACCCATAAAACAGAGTCAGAAGTGTGATGTTCTGCTCTTGAAAAGTGACTGTGCACTTCCTGACAGCCTTATCAGCGTCAGCCTTATCTCATCTCCATGATACACAAGTGTTTACATCTCATTTAAGCTCTGCAGTGGTAAGATAACCAATTCCATTGCCACACAGCAGTGGAATAATGCACTCACATTTTCTCCATTTCAAGTTCAACAAGAGCACGGCTATTTCAGTCTAACGTGTTTTGAAAGGAAACATTAATAACATTAAGTTACTTTCCTGCTGAATAATTGTTGTAGAGAACAAGCTATTTACCACTGCAGTAATAAATACTGGGAATAACAACTCAGGAAGTTAATCTTTGGATTGCTCAGATACATTCTCTGTCCTGGACTTTTAACCTGGTAGTTGGTTCGCTGTGACTCACGCATCAGAGGAAATACATTGTACTGAGTAACATATTTACCCTGTAAACATGCTGTATGAATTACAGAAGATAAAACAGATGTAGTAAACACTGAGGCAGTATCTGTGTAGGAATTAAGGCATTAATGGCAGCTCACTGCAAATGAACAGGAGCTCTTGCTATGACTACACTGTCATGCGTGTACCAAGGACAGGAACTCTTAGCTGAGACTCTCAGTGATGACCAATATAAAAACCAAACAGCACTATCATAGAGGACAGTATTTGATCTAAGGGGTTAGACAGCTTAAAATTAATATCTAGAGGCAGTTTCAGATCCTACACCTGTCCCTGAGTCACCCTGGACAGGTTTGATTTTTAAGCAATCACATTTTCCTCTCCAAAGGGCTTTTCTTCCTAATTGCTTTGTGAGACTTGCGCAAACGTGGGAAGCTGACTAAGCTGAGGAAATGGGAAAGCTGACTTTATGTAAAACAGTGTCAGAGCTATTCACTGAGTAAGCTGAAGTCCAAATAATGCCTTCCCCAGTCTTTGAAGTCACCATAAATTTTCAGGATTACTGGAATGCTTTTAATTAGGTGTTATGAAGATAGCTTTAGTACAATCATTGTCTTTTTTATGAAGCAGTGCCCCTTTCCCAATGGTTATCTGAAGTTCTTTTCTTTCTGAAGGAAGGAAAAGCAACTCTAGCATCTGTTTATGATATACAGCATTCCAAAAGATCTTGGGGGTAAAAGAGTTCCTTTGGCAGTGGCTTGAAGTCACTTATTATTATTTAAATTCCTGGTGTTATTTATCATATAGGCCCAATGCTAAATACTTAAAACTCCACCTAGAATCTAGATCTTTCTACAACAGGATGAGTGCTCACACTTTATAAAAAGCCCAGACCAAGAGGTGTGGCATCAGTCTAAATTTGTTTGGCCTTTTGTGAAGCAAAGGCAAGAAATACATCCTTCCTCATCAGAGAAGTCATTTGCTTCCATTCCTGTCCGACAGCACAGACATTCAGCCACGCTTCACCTTACGCTCAAGCACGTGATGGTTTTTGGTCTTACTCTTAGGACTCAGATATCTGTCTTCCTGTTTTTGTTTAGATGACTTCCCCGAGTCCACAGGAGTGAAACGAATTGTGCAGGCCTTGAATGCCAACGTTTGGTCAAATGTGGTCATGAAGAATGGTATGTAATACACAGCCCTCCCTGCATGAAGGCTGTGAACCCCAGAGGGCTCAGTATTTTTAGCAGAGCTTTAAATGAAGCACCTAAATGGCACCACATCAGTACACAGGGAACTAAAGTGCTCTTCCCATATTTACAGGAGGCTGCTCAGTTACCACTTTTATTGTCCCTATGTACACAGAGAAACTTGGAGGCAGTGGTGAAGATGTGATCCCATTTCAGTATTTGTTTCCTCTAGATTTGCTCTCAAATGTCTGTTGAAGGATTTAAACACATGAAGAGCACTGCAGGAAGGTCTGTTTTCCCTACAGAAAACCCCACTGCAATAAACTGCAGAACTTTGTGAAAATAGCACAGCAGCCAGACAGCCTTACTTCCTGTTATAAGGCAGGGCCACAGTTGTGGAAAAATCACTTAAGGATTGATGTATTAGGAAAGGAAATGCTGTGGCTAGCCCAGATTTAATATAAGCATAGATACTTTTATTTTCTTGAAAGCTTTCTATTACCTCTCTAATTATACAGTCTGTAGCAGGAAATGTAGGAAGATGAAACTCTTTTGCAGTGCTTGGCCTTATACTTTTTCTTTCAAACTCATCTCACTGCCACCCTTCTGAGGTCTGCCTGCTCCCTTGGGTACAGTTTTCCACTGCTGTGGTTTCTTCCTTCCAATATCTTTCAACAGTGTGATGATTTTGAGTGCTGAGAGGTTTTCATTAGTTCCTATAACTGCAAGACAGTTACTGGGATTCAGAGCAACCAAGAGCTGCTAAACTTGGGCCTCCTCAGTATTTCTCATTTTATGAGAAAATGAGGCTAAGATTGGTTCCAGTTTAACAGAACTGTTGTAGAGAGGCGTTCATTTGAGATGGCATGAAGTTAGTCTAGCTAGTACAAGAATGGTTTTCTTCATATTCAACAGATGTCACGTTACAGAAGAGCAGAATTTAGTCACACATTGAGGGAAATTCCTGCACATCAGTGGTGCCTTCTGTAAAGGCTGAGCTGTGAAAATCCAGAGCTTTTATCTCCACTGTACAGAAAGCACACAGTGCTGATATATGGCACTGCAAACCCCTCAGGAAGTGAGCTAAATTTGGAAGCTGTTGCAACCGATCTGTGATTTCAAAGGGAAATGATTGAGCTCATTTTTGCTCAAAATAAAACTTTTTACAACCTGTAATATATCTTTTGTTTGCAGCTTCCTCCTGCTCCTGGAAGCTGGCCACCATGTAAATAAGAGCTCAGCTTTTCTGCTGAGTTACCTCTAACTGCTCTCTATTTAGAATCGTGCTTCACCCTAAATCTTTTCATACAAAACTGAAGATATTTTTAGTAGCAACAGATTGTTAGCACTGTTGAATGTCACCATCCAGAAAGCCAACCTTACAGCATTGCCTTCCTTGAGGTGCTTCTGTGAGACTTTAATAGGCTGAACAGAAGTGACTTCTTTAAACTATGAACATTAAAGCCATATCATCTTAAAGCAGGCTACCTAAACCTGCACACAGTTTTCCCAAAGTTGTGAAGCTGTGCATGGCTGCACACTTACTAACAAAGGTCTCGGCCTTCTCAGGTTTTCTCTCCCCATTAAGTATGCTCTTGCTTATACTGATTCATAAGGCATTAATTACAGTTAACTGTAAACACTTTTGCATCACGTAATAAATAGTACATACTTGGTGGGTGCAAAAAGCAGTATGGTCTCTACTAAAACAAAAACCAGCAGCCTTACCTGAAAGGCTCTGAAGACTGTTTGCTTTTCGGTGGGTATGCAGTCGTCTGTTCTCCAGTTCCTGTAGCTCTCTTCCACCTAAGAAGAAGGTCACTTTCTTGTGCAGAAGAACATAAGCATCTCTTCAATTCACAGTTTTCCCACTCCTAAAACCCAAAAGCTACTGTGCTGTTCTATACTTAGTTGTCCCTACAAGAGGAAATCTGGTTGACTACAGCAAAAAGAACAGAAACAACTTACTGTCTTCTGAGAGGGGTTGCTTGGCTGCTTTCCTGCTTAAATACATGCTGCAGTGATCCCAAGTGGAGCTAGTTACCTGGGGAGGGGCCAGTCATTAGCCTGGCATCCTTCACAAAGAATTAGCCTGGTTCAGTGGGGCCATGTGAACTTAATTGCTTAAACAATTCTGGAGTTTCAACCTTTGGATTCTGTTTTTTTGTGTCAGTCATGGTAGCTTCAGACAGGCTATGGAAGAATGTTAGATAAGGACAGAGGAAAACGTTTTGCTGCAAAAGAAGCAATGTGGGTTTCCGAGCCCTGCTCAGAGCACAGCTCAATGGGGCTTTGCCATATTGATGGCACCTGTGAACCCACATAGCCTGCATCAGAACGGAGCCATCCACTATTACAATAATTTGAGTGAGATCATTTTTGGCTTTGATTCTGTAAGAACGCTCTGTAAGACGTCACCCGCTTCCTGAATGGCACCCAGAAGTTGAAATAACTTCTACATCCATTAAAAGAAGTTTATGGGAAGGTTTCTTTCAAGGGTGTGACTGGAACCAAGCGCTGCCACCTCCCTGACCACAGATCCAGAAACCAACAGCTGCGCTCTGCAGGTCCTTTGTAGATGCTGGTATTTTTCAGTTAGACAATTTTGTAGTTACACAGGCTGAGGTTGCCTGTGGCTGTGGTGGGGGTGGACTGCAGTCACTTACCTGGATGGGATGAACTCAAATTGTAGATAGAGAGGGGTACGTGATTAGGTCACCAAATCCACCCCTCTGCCAATGTGGGAATGCTCTCTCCCAAGCACATTCTGAGCTGCAGAGGCCGATCTGACTTCAGATGACTCAGAAATTGGCTGAAGATCGATCTTACTTTTTCCTATAAGACAACTCTTTGCTCAGCTTGCTGAAACCTTGGGAAGCTGCTTTGCTTAGGGTTGCAGATCCCAACCTTTTATCACTGAATTGCCTGTTAATGGAGCTGGCAGACTTACGGGCTTTCATATTTCTTGCAACTGAACGTTTTAAGGCCATTCGTTCGGCTAGACTGATTCACTTCTCCCCAAACCTCTGGCAAGGGATCTGTAAGGGCAGTAAAGCTGTACAGCACGGCGCCAATTGAAACAAATACCTGCAGGGGGGAGAGGGGGGCAGGGGGAGAGGAGGGCTGGCACAGGACACGTGTTAGCCAAAGTGCACAGCGTAGATTATTGAACAGGAAATGAGGTCTCAGTAATCCTCCAACTGAGACGTGTTTACACGTATTCTCGACAGCTGATGGCTTCAGTTACACATTCAGCTCTTTAAGATTTTGTATAAATGGCAAAAAAATTTGGCCCATGTCTAAAAATTACATCATCTCAACATTTGAATCTAGAGCTTAGTCATTACTGTAATGTTAATTCAGAGCACATTAAAAAAAAGAAGTAACACTGATCTTTCTTCTGGCACAGGCCATTGCTTGCTGGCTGTTTGCAGTGCAATAACTTGACGCTGTTTCTTTTTTAGTTGACTAAAAAGCTGATATTTTCAGGACAATCTCCTGAGCCCTGATGTAACTGCAGATATTTGCTGTTTGAGGCAAAGCCAGAAGAAAACACAGCTTAGCAAAACCCACTGACTACACATATTGCACGTACACCTATTGCATGTGCACCCATTGCACCTCCACCTATTGCACGTCCATTTTTGTTTGAAGGTAACGTTCTAGAAATAGAGATTAATTTAGAAATGCTGTGCTGTATTGGTGTGTCTTCCCTAAGAAATTGCCTGTGTCAGTTGCAGCTGTTTGCTATAGTGTTCCATCTTCTGTCACACTAACAGCTGTGTTGTTTCCAGACAGGACCCAGGGCTTTGGCCTCCTCAGCACGTTAGCAGGTGCGAACTGCAGCCTTGGGTCAGAAGAGAACCAAGATACAGAAGTAAACAGTAATTCCTATTTCTTGTTCTTTGCTCGTTCTGTGTCCCACGTGGCTCTCCCCTGTGTCACACTTGGCGTAGTGCTGGGGGGGTCTTTCATCCTTTTCTCCTCTCTCAAAAGCTACTGCACAAGCTGTCAGAATGGGTTTTCATGGAAGTCTCTGATGGCTGAAAATTCATTCACTATTGTTCTTGAAAGCCATCCTGAGAGCTGTCCCAGGAGCTGCCACCTCACAGCTGGGGGCTCCCTGTCCTTCAGGACATCCCCCCACGTTGATGGGATGCCTGGTGCTGTGGCTTCTCCTTCAAATCCAAGAACAGTGTCTTGTGCAGAAAATATCACTTGTGAGTTTTGTTAAAAAAGCAAATGAACCCATCCTAGCAAACAGCTGTGCCTGGCATTGCAGAAGTGCCTTTTCATCATACGAGTGGTGCAGGTTTTGCAGTAACAGTTCATGATGAAGAGTAAGATGTTCGTGTTAGAGAAAGGAAGCACTTGATCTGCTGCTGATGCTTTGTGGGGTGCATCACTGGATACTGTTAATATCTTTCTGTTTCCTGACAGTCCAATCCAGCAGCAGCAGACAAAGAACCCCATTTAGAGAACAGAGAGGATGCAGCTAGCACAAACGACCCACAGATGGACAGTGCTGTAGGTAAGCTTGTTCTCTGCTTGGTGGACGTGCTGGAGCAGGCACCTCAGGCTGGAACAGACCCTGAAAGCTTTCTCTCAGTGAAAAAGTGAAAAGACAGAGCCAGGAGAGGCCAATTGTGTAGCATCAGGGGTTCTCTGTGAGTAAGGGCCCAACTTCAGAAAAGATGGGGCCCCTGCAGGTAAGACGTGCCAGCAGTGCTGCCAGTTGGAAAGGTTCAGGTCTGCTTTTCTCAAGTCTCCTCACGGGTGTATTGTTTATATTCGGAAACACATTTATAAGAACAAATCTTTAAGCTTTCTGGGTGAGAGAAAAATCGTTACAGTGTGACTCCCCACAGCCTCGTTCAGCAGGGTGAGCGCTGGGAGCTGCAGGTGTTCTGAACTTGAGGGCTTTGGATTATTGCAGCCTGCCAGGAGGTGGGATTTCATATCACAGGTTGTGTGGGGAGGTCGTCCAAAGGTTGGAGGTTGTTAGTTGGGATCTAAACAGTGTCATTGCTCTTTAATTGAGTCCAGGGCTGTTCCTGAACAGATGACTTTATAATAAGAAGTCCTAAGGGAACTAAAAATGAACTTAAATGAACACAAAAAACAGTATTGCATTGTAATGTAACAAAATTCATTACCACTGTAATGGTACCATCAGTTGTCTATCTGAACCATCAGTAAATTAAATGAGAGGGCAACATGTTGAGAAGGTACTGTTTTTAACCTGAAGATTGCCACTAAGGCTGTTATGCCTGCTGACAACATAACTTACCTAAACCAAATCTGTGTGCATTTGTTTTAGATCCTGTGTTAGATACAGATATTCAAGAGCTGGCCAGCCTGACCACGAGGGACGGCGACCTGGAGAACTTTGAGAGGCTGTTCTCAAAGTTGAAAGAAATGAAAGGTACTGAGCTGTGTCACTCAGTATTGCTCAAAGGCCTGGAACCCAACGTGGCTGTTGGGAAATTCTGTGATTCTCTGATTCTCTGACAGTTGTACCAATTCTTATTCTTCTGCCTGAGGTTCTGTACAGGTGATCTTTTCACTAACTTGGCCTTCATCTTAATAATGCTCTTTTTGAAAGAAGTAGATGCAGCTCAGCTGATTGCTGTCGTGTTGTTTTAGTCCACCATGGATTAACATTACAGTTTTCTGTACACAAACCTGTAACCAGACTTTTTTTTTTTAAGCTCTGCAACAGTGTGCCAGTCTTGCAGCTTTGAAGGCACAAATGTTTGAAATGAAGTTCACTGTGCTCAGAAGCACTGGCTTTCTGTGGGAATTACAAGAGCACTTAGTAAATAAGCTTCCTTTTTATGATCCTAAGCAAGTTTCTTGCTAGTCCCCTGAAAACAGTTGCAGGAGGTTATGTGTCTCCCTTTGTGCTCCTGAGTCACGTTCAACCTGAGTCATGTTCTCTTCCACAGAAAAGGCTGCAACGTTGCCCCATGAACAAAGGAAACTGCATGCAGAGAAGGTGAGGTTTGGAATCAGCATCAAAATTATTAAAAATACAGTTTTCCTTTCTGAGCTGCAGTTCCCTCGCTTGTAGTATGGTTCACATCTGAAGGACAGTGAGAACAAACTGCTCAGTCCTGAGAAGACTGACTCAGATCTCCTGAGAACTGAATGAAAAACCCAGAATCCAGAACTCCAGAGGAGGCTTTGCCTTCGGAATTTCTGAAATGAAGGCCCTGTGATCAGTGGGGTGGGAGCCAGCGCTCACTGAAGACAGTAGAAAAGCTTTGATCTCAAGGAAGATTTAATTATGATTTAATTAGCCCAAGTTTTCTGTCACTTAGGCCTCCAACAAATTCTAGAAGTGTCTGAATTATTGCACCACGGTGTGACTGAAATTTATGAACCTCAGAGAGGATTGTCATGGAGGCCAGGAACATTGCCAGGCTGAGCTGCAGCTCAGTTTCGTTATTCGCATGGTGAACAGGAGGGGAACGATTCTCATTTTTGCATTCTTTTTGCTCCTGTTAGGTGGCCAAAGCGTTCTGGATGGCGATTGGAGGAGACAGAGATGAAATCGAAGGTCTCTCCTCGGATGAAGAAAACTGAGGTCTTCTGCAGCTGTAAGCAACAGAGTGATCCTAAGAGTGATCTTTTCCTGCAGTGAGTGTTAATTGCAGAAAGCCCCATTTAGCTTTAGCTGCTCTCTTTGGTTAAAGGATTCACCATATCGTTGTAATGAGTAACACATCCACAACACCTTATGGTTAGAGTGGTTTTGTCTGACTGTTTGTTCTCCCTCAGAGAGTTTTGGATGACGACGTATGCATTTAGAGGAAATAATAGGTTAGTTTACATTTTTCAAATTAACATTTTTATAGTTTTCTCTTTTGAGTTTAAACAAACAATTTTACTACCAGTTACCCTTCTACATATGGCTGTTGGTTGTTAAACAACTACTTAATTCTAAACATTTAGATGTAGGTCTGTTTGATGTTTTTGTGTAGCTTTATAGCTGACTTACAAAACAAACCAGATTTCTATGAGGCATGAAGAGAAACTCGGTGTGCTGTACCCTATTGGAGATGCTGCGCCGGGGCTGCAGGGTTAATCCTGCTGAGTGCCAGAGCCATTAAAAATGGCCCATAGGTTTCAATTTCTGTTTGTGCTTGTAAGCACGTGGTCCTTCCCTAAGAACTCCGGAGCTGTGCCACATTCCCCAGGTTTCCATGAGAAAGGAGATTTGGGATTAAATGCAATTCAGGCTTCTGCTGCTGGTCCAGGCATGAATTTCCCCGCTCAAACCTTCTGCAGTGCATTGCCTCCAACAGGGAGAACGCACAGACCTTCGTGTGGTGAACTCTCACCCAAACATTGCATTTCAAACCTCCCCCACTCACCCGGTGCATTTATTACAGACTTCTGCTCCTGTATGTTAATTAGAACATACCAGAGTACAGGTCCCAAATGGCTGCTTTGTGGTACCAAGGGTTAGAAAAATTCCTTCATCATCTGCGTTAGGATGTTGTCACCTTCTGCACAGTCACAGGGTTTCTGGAGAGCACAGGCACGCACAGCACTGGAACAGGAAGGCATGGTGTGGGGAGATGAGAAAAGGTAAATTGCATCCCTCCTGTTGTGCTGCAGGACCGCTCCTGTGGCTGCATGGGGGGGAACGTGTGCTCCCAGGAGTGTTTCCTTCCCTCTCCGTGAAGGGCAGTGTGAAACAGCCTTACTTTGAAGTTAGCTTTTCTAATGTCAGTAAATTTAGTGAGTCCCAGGCAGTGGCTTTCCATAGGATACCTGACAGCTTTGAATTCCAAAGGCACTTTCACAGGGTTCTTGACATTCACTGCCTGCGCTTTTAAGATTAAGCAGAGCTAAGACAAAAGGCTTCTTTGAAGACTGTAAATCGTTCCTGGGTGAAAACTGAGGCGTTTTCCATTCTAAGAAACAGAACGGTGCCTCGTGAGTAGTTTGAATAGCATTTCTCACATCAAGACGGAGCAGGAGCTCCACCACAGCAAAATACATTTTAAAGAAGCAACATTCCTATTGCAGGGACACCCATACAGGCACTGAAGGGACCTCACCCAGCAGGGCTGCTCCTCCTGCCCTGAGCAGCACCCAGGCCATGCTGTGACTCTGCCCTCTCCTCCCATTTGCTCCTGTTTTCTTTCCTCTCAATGCAGAGAGCTGCAGTAAGGAAGTGAAGGTTGTTCCTTCCAAGTAGGGAATGGTTTTCTGTTTGCTTCTTGGTAGGTGGGGGTGGTTGTTTTTTTCCCCTATTTGTTGTGCAATAGAGATGCATGGCAGAAGTGCAGAGTAAATTAATTGAAGGCAGTGAAGGACATAATGCACTTGGATACTTTATAAAAACAATTTTTATAGCTGTGTTTATAGTTTATTTAAGCTGAATAGAATGACAGAAGTTCAGATTCTTTTCCTGTTCACGGGATAGGAGCAGATAACTGCCTTACCCCTGCAGTCGGGTACCAGACTGGGTGCACACAGCCTGCCACCATACGTGTTACAGCAAGGGGAGACTGTGTGAAAGCACAGAGCACACGTGGACAGCACGAGCAGGGTTGAAGCAGAGCGGTGGTGCAGTGTGGGGAGGTGTGCATATTGCTACTAAGTAAGACTGGAGGAAATTTGTACACATTTTCATGCACATCTTACGTACTACAATGGAAATGTGACTTGTTAGCAGGTACATTTCATGCTTCAAGAAAGCATTACTCATCAAGGTAGGAAGTGTGGCTGAGAGATACTGGAATGGTCCTTAAAGATTCTTTGTACTGCATTTTTCAATCCAAATTTAATTTGCTGGTGACTTAGGTGTTTTTTATTTCCTGGAGAGCCTTCTTTCCTTTTGGCTGCATCATTTCTTCACACAATAGCTGTTACTAAAATGAATAAAAGGGGCATTGGTGGAATTGCAAACCTGAAAGTTGTGGTCTTAGTTGCTCTTTGTGTTCTGCAGCACTGTTTAGCAACAAAAGAATTCCTACCTTGGCTTTACATCCTTGTGTTTGTGTAGGATGCTCCAAGTCACAGCAGTGAGGCCCTGCTGGATGAGCCGGGCTGCTCACCTCCATGCAGTTTTGATACTTGTTTTTTTTTGGCTGAGAATTTGAGGTTTCATTTACTATCAGACTTTTATTTTGCTTCAGCTTCCCGATATCAGTGCAGTCTGATTCTGAAATCTGTGATATATTCAGGTGACAGCAGAACTCACGGCTCAGCACTGCTTTACTACCTCGCATTTTGGCAACCCTCACATAAAACCTGGACAAAACTCTTTTATTACCACATTGTTGGAAATCAGAGTGGAAAAAGTATTCTCGTAAATCCTCAGTTAGGAAAAACAACAAAAATAATCTGAATTTCAGTGAAACCCGAGGAGGAACGTTAGGAGTTCACAGACTTCGATCACAGCGTGCCTCGGCTCCATTAGTGATGCTATTTGGAGAATGCCCTCTCTGAGGCCAGCTGAATGCCAGCACATACAGAGCCTTTGTTTCCAGCACAGCACGTGGCATCACTACCTGGCTTCTGCTGAAATTCCTGCTTCAGTGCTGAGCACAGCACAGGCACTGCTGGGTAATGAGAGCAGCAGCCACGTCCACGACACCCCACAGCTGAGCAGGGGGACGTGAAGGGCTCTGCCACAGGTACAGCTCAGCTGCTGCTTCAGCTCTGACTACAGCAATTGCTAAAGGTGCTGTCCTTGAGTGGCAAGGAGAGAACACAGACCTCTAACAGCAAGGAGCAACAGCCAAAAATACATCCTGGGAGATGAAGGTAGGAAGGCTTTTCATGTAGGAGCACAGTGGAGCCATGCAGCAGCCCGTCCAGGGAGGAAAGTGGAGGAATCAGTCCTTTGAAATCTTTTTCAGGGTTTGTCTGGACAAAATCCCAGCTGACTTCACCTCGTGCTGCAGCAGGCCTGGGCCAAACACGAGGCTGCCCAGCCTCCAGCACAGCCCCAGGTTGGCACCCCGAGCAAAGGGTGGCACGCAGCCACGTCTGACTGCTCCAGCAATTCAGCAACTGAGCCTTTCGGCCGCGCTGTCCTGCTTCTACTCACCTTCAAAACCCTTTAGTTAAAAGAATTGACTGCATTTTTTAAGAGATGCTACTTCTGGCTTCAAATTTGTTCACACTGCGCAAAGCACGATGCCCTTACCTGTAACAGATCTTTCATGCCTTGCTGGAAGTGTTGTACACCTGCAGGCTCTGCTGGTGCTGCAGTACCTGCGGTTGGAGAACTCCAAATGCTTTCAGTTTGTGTCCTTAAAACTCATCTTACACCATCAGTGTTTGCTCACGAACCTTTGTTTTCAATTCAAAGTTTATTAAAATGTCAAAAATAGAACTTACAGTTTCACATATGAAATAAGAGGGCATACATAGTACAGGCCTGTAGTAACAAAATAGGCGAATAATGCTTAACAAGCTCAAGCATGTAGGTGACACCACCGCTCGTTAACGTACAATCTCAGGTTAAGAAAACCTAAACACTACTGCATACATGCTCATACATATCTATCAGAGGGGAACAGTTCCATCAAGAGCGAGGGAAGGAGGCTGCCTCCATGGAGAGAGGAGCAGATGCACTCAGCAGCAGCGGTGCAGACTCCTCGGATCCATGTACCGGAGGAAACATGAGGATGAACCAAAGCATTTACAGAACGGTATGCTGTTTTCTTTTTGAAGCCTCATAAACCTGAAAAGACTGAAGAACACAACTGAAGGGCCCACCTGGGAACCTGACTCACTGCTCAAAACTAAAACAACAGCTCAGGTACAGACTGCTGCTGGAGATGTCCTCGTTTTGCTTTCTTTGCCAGCGCTTGTTGCTCAGCTCTGAGATGCATCTCTTGTTCTCACATCAGTAACTGCCTGAGCAGCAGCCACCAGAAAGGGTCACAGGAAAGATTTAACGCTCAGAATACTGAATTGCCCCTTCTGTTAAAAGTTATGCATTGGATTCATCTGAATATTCAAGAAAAACAACATAAATACAAGCATGTACATAACAAAAAACATATACTGAATTTCTTAACCATATCGCCCCATCCGCTACGATACAGCAACTAATTATTTCTCCTCCTAGCTTCCCAGCTTATTTCTGATATCCCACCCCTTCTACCTATCCGGTGCCCTGGAGAACTAGGAAGGCTCACAGATGCTTTGTGACAGGGCTGAAGTCCCTCTCTGCGCTGTTCTTCTCGCTCCCTGTGCTTTTTCTCCTTAGCAGGCAGCACGAGCTGTGGATGCTGACACCTGCTCCTCAAGCTGGAGTCCTGAATATTCTTCAACCTGTTAAGTTGTACACAGTTCAAAGTGTGCCATCCTGCAGGGGAAGGGAAACAGTTGCTTCCCACTGTCTGAAAGGCCACCTCCAGCCATTCTGTACTGGAGCTTTCAGGAAATCGGATGGATCAGATTTCTCCATCCTTGTGCACCAAATGGAGAGCACTGGATTACTTCTGAGACAACGCAACCTACACACTGCAACTCAGTTCAATACATTAATAACTGAAAAAACCCTCCACAGTCACATAAAACCACAGGGCCATCAGTGTCATCTGCCAGCAGTCAGGCCCTTGTGTACAGCTACACTAAGCAAAAAGATATTGACTCTGCTAGTAAGGAGAATGCATGGAATGCTGGTGAAACAAGCCAACACTACCATCAGCGAGGAGTGCCATCTCACTAGGGCAGGCTGCTGGCATACAGCCGTGCTACATGTCAAAGCTACTTTCAGGAAGTTTTAGAAAAGAATGGAAAAGCAACACTAAGCCAATGGTGTTGCACCAATGCCACCATGCAGCCCCTTCCCTTCCGTGCTGGGATCCAGAGCTCATCTCAGTTTGCTTTCACCCATCCAACTCACTGCTGCTGAGAGAGAGGGATCACAGCCCTTCCTCACCTGCTGCGTGGCACAGGCTTCCCATTTGGCTTTCTAAGGTCACTGGAAGCCATAAGGCTTTTATGCATTAGTGAGGAGGCGAACAAAGGGGAGGAGAGGGCATTATCTCTTTAAAGAAGATAATCTCCCTGTTTTATCTAATTGCATCACTAGAACAGCTTCATGCTTTCTATTGGAAGTCATTTACTTAAGGGATGACGGGGTGGGATTAACCAAAGTTTTTATGCATCATCCAAATCCTGTTTCTAAAGAGGCATCTATTAACAGCAGTCAGCAGCCCGCTGTCCTTCATCAAATGAAACAGAGGGAATCCAGGTCCAATTCTTGGTTTGGCTGAGGCGATTCCATGCAGACCCTGTACAAAAGCAGGGTTTACTCCAGCTTGTGCCCCAGGTCAGGCTGGGTCCTGCACACACCATGGGAACGAGCTGCCTGGCACCTGAATTTAAGGCGCCGTTTTGGTAGCTGGTGCACAAGACACAACAGAGCCCAGCTTTTTCATGATTATGTAGATAAAGAGGCAAGCGTGACTTAAAGGGACTTGAGTAGGAAACCTGGGAGAGTTTTACAGAGCAGATTCTCTCCTCTCACTACAACAGGAAGTCAAATATTTCCACAGAAGTCTGAATAAATTACTGCTTGCAACTGTTGGAAAGCTGTACCTGAAAGCACGTGCTTCATCAGCCCACGATGACAGACATCCCTAGCTAAGCAGCTCAAAAACACTACTTTACACAGATGCTCTTATTGCACAAGTCCATGCAATCAGAGATTTAACTAAAATCAGACACAGAGCAAAAATGAACAGTTAAAAAAAAGTCCTAGAAAACCTCCAGTGCTATGATACAAGCCATGCTGCACAGGGAAAGCTCACCCGAAATCCTGCCGTCTGTCCCACAGCTCATCCTCTGGGTTCAGAAACAAGACTCTCCCCCGGAGCGTCCCTCTGTCTGCCTGGTGAAGCACACCTCTGCTCTGCGTCCACCTCGGGTGCTGCTGATGCCTCGGGTCCAAGCCAGGCGGTGGGGCTGAGGGGCAGAGTGGATGAGCACACCCAAAGAGCCTCCCTGCAGCCATGGGGCGCGTGGCTGATCCTGGGAAGAGTCTGCAAGGTATCGCAGGGCACGGAGTGCAGGGCTGCTCATGTTCGTGTCTGGGAGCACAGAGCTCTGCAGGACTGAAGCCTTCACACAAATCACTCAGCGTCCATCGCAGCCTGTCCTTCCCAGAGCCACACGTTGTGTAGATGGGGAGAAAATAAAAGTCCAGAAGAAATTGTGATTATCATTTTCTCCCCTCCCCCTTCTAACAGTTTGGCACAAACGCGTGTGGTATTCCACACAGATGTAAAGAAGCAAATAACAGGATAGCACTGACAAAGTTATGAGACTTATTTGGCAAACTGGAACCATAAAAACAAGTGCTGAGGGGTTTTTTTTCCAGTTGTAGAAGTTGTTTGCCACGACAGTTGCTGCAGGGAAAAAATACTGAACAGTCTGGAGCATGTATATTTAAATGAACATTTTATAACACGTTAATACACTCTCTCCATTTCTCCAGGTGAGAACACATCTCAAAGGATTTTCATTAGATGAAATAAGTTTTTAAACCATGTTTTGTTGGTGCATCTGAGATGTCCTGGTTCCGGCACGGTCACGTACGACTGTGGGATAACCTACAGAACTGGGTTTTCTGCAAGTGGCAGCAGGAGCCATCTCCACAGCAGACCTGGGCACCGAGTTCACTAAGCCCCTACGACTTAAGAAGTGGCAGATACCAATCAACACCATGAGAAAACAGAATACAAACTTTCTTTAGTTAATGCGCAGTAATGAAGGCTTAACTTATCCAGCAAGAGCTCCTCACATTCCCAATGTCTGTTAGTGAGCAGCTCCAGTCACAAGTTGCTGCAGCAGTGTCAGAAAGAGCCGTGACTTTGGCCTCTGCTTCATGTAAATCCAGACTGAGACAAGCAGGGCACAGTGGCAGCTCGGGCACAAAGCAAGGCGCTGCCTCTCGGTGAGCTGTGCAGCGTGGAAATCTGTCCCTTCAGGAGCAATACTGGGCAATCAGTCCTTGCATGTGCTTCTCGTGCTTGCTTTTCCACCTACTGCTGCAATCCCAGGAAGAACGGGCGTGCATCAGGTGGATGGAGACAGCAATGCATGAGCAAGAGACATCCCAAAGACCCATGGTGTCTGTCAGAGATGCCGGGGCTGCGTGGGGCAGATGGAATGAGCCATGGCTGGAGGCACAGCACTGGCTTCTCTCTGCTGAAACAAAGTCGTCTTTTATCAGGATATACTTCAGCTTCATTCTGACTGCAAGGGCCCACAGCCTTGTAACCAAAGTGCTAACAGTTTCAGTGGAAGTGGCTTCAATGGGTCTTTAAGTTTAACAAAAGAAAAAATGAAACAAAACCAAGAAAAGCCACTACTTTAACAGATTTGTTTCTCCTTATCACTTCAGTAACTGGGAATCTCTTCTCTATGTGTTTTGCTAAGGGTTCAGCCAATTCCATTCTCCAGTCTTTGCTCCCCCGCCCGCCCCCAGGAGGTGCTTCCTTAGGAGACGCTGGAACAGCGGATGCTCGGGGAGCCCATCTGTGTGAGGACCTTGTCCAGCCACTGCAGAGGGCCGTTGAGGTGCAGCTCAATCCAGCAGGGAGTGCTGGTCACCGTCTGCCGCCTGCGAGGACAAGGGGTTGGGGAGAGAGGGAAAAAACAGAGCGTTTGAATGGGACTTGCAAAACTTGACAAATCTGAGAAGGTTTCACAGCTACCGAAGCATTCTTTCCTGCTTAGACAACAGCCTTGCACGTGGGGCCAAAGGAATGTCTCTCTCCTCTTTAACACGCTTCTGGCCGATGCTGCCAACTTCCTGAAAACCCCCATCTTTTCTCTTTACATCCCCTGTCATCCCAGAGGGAAACTCACAACATCATCTATTTGCTACTGAGACTTCTGGAAGAAGGTGTTTATCTGAGCAGTGCTCTCCAGTTTTATTCTGCAGACCTTATCTCTCCTAATTAATTAGCAATCAAAGTATGTTAGATTTTCTGTGCATGAGGCCAGGAGGTTCTCTTCACCCCATCTTTGGGTTTTGGCCAGATGCAGAGGTGACAGAAGTGATCCCCACTCTCCCTGTGCTGGAGGTATGGAACCAACTCTACAGCGACACAGAGGGCAGAGAAACAGAAGTACGGCATTAACTGATGTGTTGTAAAAATGTCAGGAGCTGCTGGCAGTGGGTGGAGAACAGCAGAGGTCAGACTGCCTGCAGGGTCACTGCTCCCCGTGCTTCACTTCCCACTGCCCCCCAGCATCCCCCATCAGCTGCCCTTTATTCCCCAGGGCCAGAGCCCACAGAGTGCCTCCAGACAGCAGAGCAGGGCGGCAAGGGGAGGACAGGGAGGGATGTGGGACCAAGGCAACAGGGCAGGGGCTCTGCCCAGGGACAGCAGGATTCTCGTTTCACGCAGAGAGGCAGGGACAGCTGCTGTGGAGGAGGAGGATTAAAACGAGAGAAATGGCCTGGAAACAGCCTTGGTTTACACCCTCGTTTCCCACGGAAGCTGTCCTTGGAATCTGCTCGTGAGAGGGAGACCAAAGTCTGTGGGGCCCAGACAGAAATCACTGCCGCAATGGGGACTGTGCCCAGCACTCCCAGCCCCATCCCCGTCCCTCTGCAGCAGGACAGGGGCACAGGGCTCTGCGTACGGCTCCGCGAGGCCTCGGCTGAGGGCTGGAGTGCGTCCCAGCGATGCTCTGCGTCCCTTGTCCTTGAACTGAAAAAGGAAGCAGCTCCCAAAGGCACCGCACCCATTCCCGAGCAGCGCTGGCAGGGATGCAGTGCCCTGGAGTGGGTGTGTGGGCAGTGCTGGCGCTGCGGGCTGTTTGGGCAGGGGGATGCAGTGAAGCAGACAGACCACAAAATCCAGTCTCCATTAACACACAACATTCCCATTTGCTGCCTATAACTAGATCAGCACTGAGCAGTCCAACTACCGTCCAGCAACCCAGAGCCCGAGGGGCTGCCGCACTCCTGCCCTCCTAGCACACCTCACTGCCTTTCCACCTGCACGGCTGCGTGCTGACTGCAGCCTGCCTAAAGGCAAGCTCTCACAGCTGCACTGGGCTCTTGCTGGACAGAGAACTTCTGTCTTGCACGTGCAATTGGCTTCTCCCTGTTCCCTCCCCAAGTCCCTGGCAGAGCAGAGCACCAACACCCCACAGTCGGAGTGCTCCAACAGCAACACAGTCGAACCAGAATCACTGGAGCAGTGCTCTGGATGCAGCTCCCACAGCTACCTAGCCCTCTGCCCATCAGTTCAACTAATCAACGTGCTCTGACAAGGGCAAAGAGATGCATTTTGTGGCAAGGAAATGAAGGAACGGGAGAGCAGCTTGAGCGTGAGCGTAGGGTTTCACTGCCTACAACACTAATGAGATAGTTGACTTTCCGTAAGTCACGCTCATCTGGATTTCATTACGAGCTGTGGCTGAGAGCCAAGGCTGAAATGCTCTGGCCCGGGTGCAGGACAATTTCAAAACAAAATGGACTCCAAACATCTGGAGAAATGAAGAAAGTGGGAGCGTAATGTGCAGGACCCAGGCTGCAGCTGAGCCGTGGCACCTCCCTGCCGGCAGGCAGCTGCACGCAGGGCGCCTCAGCACAGCCGCGCTGCTCCGGGAGGCAGAGGCTGCCCTGCACTTCCAGATGAGGCTGACTGAAAGGGCGCACAGTCGAGCAAGTATTTCAAAATCGTATTTGGCTGAAGTCTGTGCCAGCTTTTTCTCTCATAAAATAACATTCGTTTTCTGACAGATTTCACCTCCCCTGCTTATACTACTAACACCACTTTTACTCCCTTTGCTACTCCTAGCGATGTTTGTTTGTTAATGCAGTGGGCGACGGCGACACAAATTACAGAGCTCTGTGTCCTCACACCCTGTGCTGTCAGAACAACCACATCATCCATCCCAGACTGCACTGCATCTCCTTTTTCACTTGTAATAGTGACCCTGCTTCTCCCGTCGCCTCCCCTCACCTCGAAGTAACTGCCCTATGACAAGCACTGAGAACAGGATGAGGGGATGTAACAGTAATTTTGCAGCAACTCTTAGCAGTTTCCCAAATGTGAATTTTCATGCTGAGTTGTTTTTACTTTAATCTCATTAGTCTCCAATAAAAGAAAACACCAAACCTAACGCATATCTGCGAGGAAGCACTCGCACTGATCCTGTCCTGATAACAGTGTCGTACTACAACTATCAAAAACCTATCAAATACACACCCAAGTTTAAGAAAAAATAGGTACTATTTCCTACCCAGCCATGTACACATGTCTGCTGTGCTTCAGGTAAGGCTCCTGGTCTGCACAGCACTGTGACCAAACACACACGGGTTTCCAACACATCCCATGATGCAGGTTTCACACAAACAGCATGGGAAAACTAAGACACGAGGTCAGCACATTCTTTGTAAACGCAAGACATGCATTACCAAAGAGATACAGCACTAAGCCTCCCAATCACAAGGCTGAATAAGGAAGCTGTGCAGAACACTGCCAGGCCACACATGAGCACACCACATGTTTCACAAGGGCTGACCTGTATTCTGCTCCCCAGCCCTTGACGAAGCTCATCCGAATCGTGCACATCCTGGTCAGCTGGTACACAGCTTCAAAGCCCTGGTTTACAGACTGAGCCAAGAGAGCTGCAAACTCCTGGTTGTTAAAAATCTTCAAGTTACATCCTGTGCATAAAGAACACGACGAAAACAAAGTGTTAGTTCAGCCACATTAACAAATCTATTTCTTTATGAGAGTGGAAGGAAACTCAGTGCTGCCTTCCCATGTCCCCAGACCATGCGACACCACATACAGACTGCTCAGTGACAGCACTTCACAAAGCCTGTTAGGGTTGCCACATTTCCACAGCCCCTGGACTGAAAACCACATTATGGGACAGAAGATCACCCACACAGCAAGCTGCCACCTGCATGACTGGACCTGGGATCCTCACGTGGAACCTCATTTATACTATTCATACTTATTTCCATTGTGTTGTAATTTAAAAGCCTGCCTGTGACCGTAACACTTACTGATAGCAACTGCTACAGAGCCTGAAACAAAGGAATGCATGGGTTAAAAACAGGGACTCACTGGTGCTGGATTTATGTGGTGCCTGTCAGCAGAAGTAATGAAGTTCTGAAGTTCTGAAACAGCTCTGGGCAGCCAGAACCCAGTTACCTGGGCTAAGGAAGCTGGTGGCAGAGCTGCACCCCTCTCTTAAATTTTAATCTGATGTGCCAAAGAATTTTCCTTTAAAAGTGCAGTGCTCCCCTCAGTGTTCATTCACAGCTGAAAGACTTGTTCAACTGTTCTAGGTGATAAAGGTGAAAAACAATCACGTTATCTGTGGTTGAAATAACTAAATTAATACCTAACTTTTACGCTTGCTTTCTCCCAGATAACCAGAAACAAGCTAAACTCTGAAACTTGGCATGCCACTGCTGCTCATTTGGGATTACATATGGGCCAAGTCTGAAAAACAACCAGTTGGACTGTGATGAATTGTATTTTTCTAAAATCCCTTCTGAGCCTACGCTCTTGGGCTGGACCCACTCTGCCATCTGCTTTGGGCCGAACCGCATACAGCAAAGCATCACCACATTCAATGGCTCAGCAGCTGCAAAAAAAAACTGCCCGTTTTTGTGGCCATAAGAGAGCCCAGCCCAAGAACCAGGGGTCCTGTGGAGTGCGAAGGGAAGCAGTGCCGGGCACATTGCAGCCTAAGAGGGGAAAATAAGGAGGGAGAGAGCACAGGAGAAGAGCTATGGCAAGGAAAGGAAACAGTCTGATCAGACTGCAGGCTGCTCAGACCTCAGGAGTGATGTGAACAGGTCTCCCTGTGACCGTGCCTGGAGGAAGTGGTACAACCCGGCCTCGTCAACAGCGGAATGAAGAAACCGCTTCAAAACCAACAAAAATTTGAAGATGAATCTGAGAAGGCAGCCAGACTGTGGCAATAGCAGGGAGAGCCGGCGTCCAAGAAATGTGCCTGAGATGGATCTGCAGCGGAAATGTGGGCTGTTTATGTTTTCAGATGTTGACTCCAGCCCGGGTGGACTCCTGTGATGTGGCTGGAGAATTAAGTCATGTTTGTAGCACTGGCAGCTGCTCCCTAAGCATCTGAGAAAGGAAACCCACTGAGATGGGCCAGGACTTGCAGTGTATGGATCTCTCTTCTAAAAAAAGAGGATCTTTATTCAAGTATTTCTAAATGAAAAAGTCATTATTTAAACATATACATACTTTCAAATTAAAAAAGTACATTTTGCAAGCCTAGCTAAATACTCTTCTGAAAAGCATGCACTCATCCTAGCTCATGTATCAAACAATAAATACCTGTTTTTCCCAGATACATGCAATAATGGCTCCTCTAACATCTCAGCATACCTTAGAAGTGACATTTCTCCAGAATAAAGCTCAAAGAAGAAAAGGCTGTACTACAGAACAGAAACCAGTAACAGTTTAAATCTATTATGGGCTGATCTAAATTGAGAAAAAAATCCTAAATTATCTTCTTTTATATAAAATTACAAGCAGGACTATTCGATAATTACAGCATCGACTGATTAAACACCAGACTGAATGCATGGCAGATTCTGCTGCAAATGTGCAGCACTCTTTTTGTGTTTCTACTCTTTGTGTTCCCACTCGTGTGCATCCTTACCTGGTGGGATCTTGCAGACTGTTGCTGGGTGCCAGCCGTAGCGCTGGTTGCAGTTGGGAGACTGGACGAAAATGGCACTGTCACTAAGGCACTCAGCAAACACCTCGCCACCAATGTAGTACAGCCTCACTCCTCTTCCTGAGAAACACGAGCACAGTTTGGGGTCAGGTCAGAACGTCCATCTGCAACACCTGGAAGGTGAGTGGGGAGAGGCACAGCCAACCTGCGCAGCTGACAGAGCTCAGAAAGCAGCTGGACCATGAATGATGGGGATGAAAACCAGCTCAGAGCTGTGCTCCAGCCCCACTGGGCTGCGCAGTGTCACCACCTCCCAGCCTGCCTTCTCCAAACAGCAATGGCCCTGATACCTTCTATACGAATGTACTGTTGACTGTTGGTCAACATATGGCTTTCAACCTTTTCTAAATCACCACAGCTGCTCATTTATTTACCTCATTACTGATTTGGAATTAAATGATCCAGTGTTTCCAAATAGCTGCCTTTTCCTTGAGACTGTATTTGTATACAAGGACAAGCACACCCTTCTTATAAGAGTTTACACACATTACTGAAATCTCAGTTAATAAACTCAGGAATTCGTATTTGCTGTGCTCTTACACTGCTGTTTGAAAATTCTGCTTTCATTCTTCCATGCTGCACAAGCAGCCTGCTGAATTTAAGGACTGATTTCTGAATCCTGGCTCACGTTTGCTGTGTGAGTGTTGCGAGTGCTGTTTGCTTTTTATTTATTTCCCAGTGCTACAAATCAGTTTGTAAGTAAGGAAAGATCCTCCTGTAAGAACCTTTACTGTCCAGAAAAAGATTTATAGAGGAACGGAGTCGGGACAAAGACTAGGTTCATTTCTGATGGTATCAGGAGAAAACACTGCCAAGCATAAACGATTTTGCCTTTCACTAAAAGTACATAGATCTGGGATATTCCATTCAGTACCAGCTTAACTAAAAACAGAATTGAGTCTTACCTTGTAATATCAAGCAAGAAAAGAGAAAACTGAGATGAAAACCGAGTTTCCATTTATAAGAGAACAGTCAGTTAGAAAACAGAATTGTTCATGAAGGAAAACAAATACACAAGATGACCTCTAACATCCACCCAAATGAAGTTCTGAAGACTGCGTGCAGAAATTTAAGCTCCATCTCTGTTAAATGCAGTTACTGCAGTGTTTCTCAGTGCCTTTTTAATTGTATTTTTATAAAAGAATACAATTAGTGTTTCTTTATGGAGGATTAACCCGAATCACCATGGATACTGCAATCCCACAGTGTCCTAAAATGGACAGAGCTGGATGCCATTAGGTAACTAAAACCTGCAGGCAGATCCCCGCCTTCTGCCTCGAAAAACACCGAGGAAAATAAGGAGACAGAAGTTACCGATGTGCCGTCTCGTGAGCTCCACTGCTGCATTCCTGTTCACGTTAGAGAGCAGACCAAGGCAGAAGCGTTCCGAATTCGACGGGTCGGTGAAACCATCCACGGTCATGGAGGGCTGGGAGGCGTGGAACGTCTCCCCCACGCGCTGGTTGAGTTCATAGTAGGATATGGAGCACCAGAACGCCGGCTCGCAGTAGGTAACGGGCTGCAGATCTGCACAAATAAAAAGCAACATGAGTCACAGGCCCTCCGAGAAGGGGGGATGAGGAAAGCACTGTTCTGAAATATTGTTCTGCTTCATTCCTTGGGCTCGCTGGAACCACCAAGCTTTAATTACTTGTCAGATGTTAATGGAGTGCAGCTAGAAGGTTACATCACCCCTGAAGCTTTTGGCACGTGGAACAATCGAAATAGTCCAAGATGTAAGTCATGGAGTAAATGGGGCGGCACTCCACTATCTTGGAGAAAATCCTAAAAGTGAAGTTAGTTTTTCTATGAAGCATGGGACCACTTCTAGGTAGGCAGTACCCTAAAAACAGAAAAGAAAAGGAGAGGAAAAGAAGAAAGAAAAATTTAGAAAGGCCAGACCACAAACCTGCCTGCAGTGCCACTGCTCCCCAGAATCCTAGCACTGTGCCCTTACAGCAAAGCAGCCAGCAAGCCCCACTTCTCTTCTGACTGCTAGCATCTCTGCAGCTCTTTGCAATAGAGTCAAACTGTATATAACTGCCTTCAAAATAATAAAAAAAATATTTCTTCCAGTCCAACTGATTTCACATTTTGAAAAGAAAAACCATTTCCCCAGCAGATGATAACGTTTCTTTTACTGGAGACTGACAGACTGCTTCTCTCTGTTTCTTTTACTGGAGACTGTTCTTTTACAGACTGAGGCAGACTCGGGAAGACAAGTGAAAGGGGGGGCACTCAGATGGCTCTGGGTGATTTAGCTGCTCCCCCTGACACTAAGGACAGCTATGCTTGTGATTTCAGCAGAGGAAGGCCCAAGCCAAATATTCTTGGAAATGCTGCACTAGATGGTGTTCAGTCCTACTGTAAGTCATGGATCTACTGAGCAGGAACTGTGGAAAGCAGCACAAGCTAACTGATAAGTGCTGTATTTCCCAAATTCAATGCAAGAAACAAAAGCAAGAGAAGATTTCTTTCCCTCTGGCACAGTTTGCATGGAGCAAAACCCCAGCCATTCTTGCAGCTTCCCCATCTGCTGCTCTGTAAAGGCTGTGGTGAAGCTGGGGCTGAAGAGATGGGCTCCATCCCAGCCTGCTCTCACCCAGGAGTGGCTGTGGAGGTTTGAGAGCCATTTCTCATCTGCTACTGCTTTTCTCTGTAAACCTCAGCCACAAGAGGTGATGGATTCCTCACTGAAGGACATACAGAAATTTTATTTCCAGCTCATTTGCATCTTGAGAGACGCAAACCAACAAACTGTCTTAAAGAAAAGCTTGTCTCTGAACAAATGCAACTGAGGTTTACTGGTGCTGCTTTCTCCTGTGATTTGCTTTGGCATAAGCTGCTACAGAATTTTGTTACAACTGTCCCAAGTACTCAATTCCGGGGTTTACTGTTTGGGAAAAAAGTAACAGAATGCAGTTCTGCTAAAACCAAAGAATCTCAAGGGGACAGATGGTGGTCAAAATCATGATTGCATTACAAGCAAGTAAATCCTACCTGAATCATTTCCATACATTTCCAAACCTGACTTCCTACAGCTTTGCTTTCCCAGGTGCCTGCTGAGCACTGCCATGCTGCCCATACTCATACTGCACTGTCTTCAATAAGACCACAGTACCACCTGTCCAGATGCAGAACTAAAAGCTTGCCAGGTGCTCTGCACACTCTAGGACATGCTCTAAGAATCCCAGCTGAGGTCAGTGTGTTTGCTAAATGCTGTTCATCAGAAGTTACTGACTTATGTTATCTAACTGCACTAATTGCAGTTACTCCTAACTCCCACAGAAGCAACAAGATAAATAAGTGTGCTCACTTCCTTTCCCTCTGCGCTGTCTTTTCACTGCTTAGAGAAATAGTGTTTCAACACGGAGTCACAGAGGCTTACGTTACTGATGGATCTGCCCACAGGGCATGTGCTTATTTCACTTACTGCTTTTGCGTCAAGTCTTTTGCAGAGCAAGCACTGACAATGGATTTCCTGTGCACCAAGGGACTGCCTCGCTCCCAAATAAAATGTGTGCAACCTCAGGCCTGGCCCTCAGCCAGCATAAACTCCCTGACTTCATTCCGAGTGTCCACACAGTGCTGGCAGCTCTGCTTTCGTTGGGGCTTTCTGTGTTCTTTCCAGTTCCAATTTCAGCCATACAGAAGAGATCGCTACAACTTCCAGTTACATCTTCATCTGACAACTGAAAGTCCAAATCAAAACCAGAATGCTTGCAAAGCCAATGCACAAGCTGAAAGGAGACAAAAAATCCCCAGATGTTACCATGCAACACCTTGTTTTGTCTGTGGATGAAAAGATGAACTGAAAGTGCTCAGGTTCCATCAATTACAGCTTGATATCAAAATACACACAACTGCAGCTCAAACCAACCTTGCTCCTATTGTTCTAGCCAGCTTGCCTCACGCTAGTTTATGGTCTTTGTAATTCTCTGGAATAAGGCCATGGGACAAAGTCCAAAGTTCAGCTGACACAAAGTAAACTGTCTTAAAAGCTTCAGGCAGTTCTGTTGAAATAAACCGTCAGTTTTAATACTGGGACATTATTTCCTTAGCAGTAAAACTTCAAAAATACATGTTATATTCTTTAAATTTTACGTTTCATTTTCTTAGCAAACACAGGGAGAAACCCCCCTTAAACTTTTGCAGATGAAAGTGCAGCCCTCAACACTGCAGCGTCCTGCTCATCCACAGAACTACACAGCACAGCAAATGCAACACCACTGCAGGCCACCAACCACTTTCTGTCTGACTGGGAGGAGAATCTGCAAAGCTGAGGGAAAGCTCAGCTCCCCCAGCTCATGCCGTCCCTCTCTGGCTTGCAGGGCTGAAGGGGCGAAGGGCTGCTGCTGTGAGCAGCTCCTTTATCTCAGACATGCTGCCTACAAGGCACAGATGATGACAGATTCTTCATTCGACAGTTGCTGGGAGTTGCTCAGTACGTTCCATTTTATTTATTGTTTTGCAGCTTTCTCACCACACAAATTGATTATAAAACTATAAAGAGAGACAAAAGGTTCCTAGATTTGTGGGACTTTTTGCCTAAGATCAGTGAGCGTTTGGTTTGCAAAACTCAAAGATATCTTTTAATGCTGCTAAGCTCAATGCTCTTCTGATGTCTGCTCCCTAGACTACAAAGAGATTTGTCGTGGTTAACCAGCCTCACCTGCTCCTATTTAGTTCTTTGTCACCAGACTGCACATTAGGAGTCCTGCAGGCCCATCAGCTGAGCAGCATGTGTTAGGAACACTGTTCTGGTTAGAAAGGATATGTGCTGGGGCCTCTTTCCTAGAAACCACTTTTCTCCTTATGTAAGGCAGATGCCACAGTCAGCTTGCCAGGTTGGTTTTGTTACATGTAATTGGCCTTTTATTTTTAGGTTGACAAAAAATGCTAGAAATTCACATCAGCTCTTCAGCAGCACACTTGAGCATAACAGATTCAGATAGGGAGGAAAAAGAAAAAGGAAGAGTTAGCTATGTATTCTTCTCTGAGGCTTTAACAGTTAAAATGAGTAAAAGTTTAGTGGCATTGTGGCAATGTATTCCATGCCTTCAAATAAATAAATAAATAGAGAAGAGAGAAAAGAAATCCCCTTCAACAGCCCCAAGACATCCACAAGTCAGCCAATGACTGACAAATTTTGGAGCAGAGTCAAAGTACCCTCTGCCAGGATTAAAAGCATATGTAAACTTTATGGCTACGGTTATTCGAGAGCAATCTCAAGTGGCCTGTGTCTGCTGGCTTAATGAACATGCGGAGAAGTGATCCTGCAGCTAGCCAGAGCTATGAGTGTGTTTTATGAGAGACTGTTGAGAGCAATTTCAAATACAGTGAGAGCTCACACTGATGAAGATCAGACCTTCCATGCCTGTAGGTATGAAAATGAAGAGCAGAACCTTTGGGAAATAACAGAGGTTCAGGGACAGCCACAGGACACCTCCAGCAGGATCTCAAAGACAAAGGTCCTGTTCAACAGCTCCAGTTCTCCACAAGAGAAGCAGAAAGGAAGGATCCCCAGGCTCCTGGAAGCATACGGCCCACAAAACGTCTGATTCTCAAAGAGGTCTGTGATATCTGCACCTCTCCATATGCTGGTGTTCTTGCCCTCTCTCCATTTATTTGAGCTCTCCAATCACACACCAACCAGCCTCCTCCATTTGCTCAGTTATTAGCAGAAAGAAGCACCAACAGTGCTCAAAACCTAATCAGATGCACACAACCTCAAGAAATAACATCATCATTATAAGGTCATGCTCTCGGCTGTAATTACACACAATTCTCAAGATCACATGCTTACCCAGATTATTGTGTGCCGGAGACATAGGATTTGGTGATAGGTTTGGAGAACCTGAAAAGCAAGACATTGTAATTATTAGTATGGCATCTGCACAAAGAAAAACACTTGCACAAAATCTTCTGTGCTGCCCAGGCTTGTTGAGAGGGAAATCCCACTTCTTAGCAAAGTCTCATTTTGTGACATTAGCAACTTCTCTGATGTTGATTACCACTTAAATGAGCTTCCAAATGCTATTGCTTACTGTATCAACTTGCTTCATCTGCAATACTGCTGGGAATCTTCACAGAGTTTAATTCACTTAAACTCTACACATTAATTTTCATAACTGTGACGCAGTTGCCTGTTTTACTTTCACATGCAGTTGTCAAAACTCCAGGTACCATCATGACAGCCACACTCAAGCCCAGTTAGTTGGGCATTCACTGGACACTGCTACTCACTCTCAACAGTGGAAAACCTACCACTTTGTACATCAGTGAATCTTTCTGGTGCTGGGACAATGGAGTACTGCATCAACCTACGCAGCTCTGACCAAACCACTGTGGCAGTTTTACCCCCTTGTTCCAATTCTGCCCACAGATTTTGTGCGTGTATTTCAGATATCTGCACTTTGATGTCCAGAGCAAGTTCCAGTTTCTGGATGCCACGTGGATGCAAGCAGGTGGTACAGCCCATCCGTCCTTCCCTCTCACACTGAGTTCAGCTGGTTTCTTCAAGATTTGTTTTTCTATAACAAATGAACTCCATGACATCTGAAGAAAGGGATCTAGCATTCAAACACGAACTGAGAGTATTTATAGCATCTTCCAGGCCAATCCACTTTCCCAAAAAACCATACATACATTCCGAATGTCAACCGCATTACCAATGATTATATGCACTGAAATGCATTGTGTCAACAGGCTTATGTTTGATGTAGACAAACAAACCCACACTCCTTTCTGCCATCTGTACAACTGCGGTGCAAGTCTGCAAATCAATCATCTCTCTTTTGGAATCCCACGTATGCTCTGTGGCTGAAGTCATACCGAAAAGCCAGGATAACTGCATGCACTATTTGCATTGAGAAAGTTCTGCATGTTTCTTTTTATGCAAGTGCCATGCATTTGCACATCCCTCTTGTAAGGGATCACAAAGGCATCAGCCTTTCTAACCAAAGACACATTTTTGCTCCTCAGGCAAGAGTTTTAGGAGTTGAGAGTCTGAACTCTGAAGAGTTCTTACTCGCAAGCAGAGACACAGCTCAGTCCAACAGGATGCCTTACACAGTTACCTGCAAAACGATGGTGTTTAATTTTAACGTGCTGATAAAGGTCACTATGCATGCTAAGGCTGCTCAGTCTAAATCTGCTTTCACGCTACTTGTTTTCTTGGCAGTGAGTCACAACCTCGCCTTCACTGGGATGCATCCATTAAATAATAAGCCCATTTAAAAATAAATCTGCTAGTGGTCCTTTGAAATACAGTCAACTGGACATTTCAGTATGTACAGCAGACAGATAAGCAATCAGAAAAATGCCTCTTTAGAAGGTGCCAACTACTTGCACCATATTCCTGTGCATACAGATGCATGAACACAGTACAATGCAAGCTATTATTAGGTGTGTCTCATCTGTTTCAGGCTCCTGCTTAGCAGTATCTAACAATGGATGTTAGGGAGAACAGGAACATGCTGTACCTTTCAGCAGCTCTAAAACACACTGTCCTGTGCTTTATATGAGATGTCAAGCTACATTTGCACTCCTACAGGGATAAAATAACTCTCACCACCATCTGATTTTCAGAGCTCCAATGAAAGGCTTTAGAAGTTTAGATATGACCCAGAAAGCTGTAAATGGCAAAAAAGAATTACCTGCATCCATGCTGGGGTTCATCTGGTGGTCACTAGTTTCTCCATCCTCACTCAAATAGCCTGGAGGAGGTGTCTCTAGAATCATAAAATGATCAAAATCATTGCAACTGGATGAAAAGTCTGGAACATTTACTTTGCTATTCACAACAAGCTTTTTTTTTTTGTTTAATTATTTTTCTTCCTCAGACTGTTAAGAGTAAGAGTAGAGCATACTTGTGAATAACAGAGGAGGGAAAAAACAAAATCAGGATTTTCAGTTCCATAAAACTTTAAGCTACGTAGACAGTTTTCTGTCCAGAGATTGCTCCTTTCCTCGTGTGCAGCTGCACAGTTTGCCTATAGAAATAAGGCGTAAATTGCTTGTAAAAAAGATGCATAAATAGAAAAGCTCAATTCCATCAGAAATTTACACTTTTACTCAAATTAAAATGGCTGAACGTCAGTCAAATCAAAGGGAACATTCAGCTTTAGATACCACAATAAATTGAGTATGCACTACTGAAAGGAAAAGGTGAGCTTGAAGCAAACAAAACTTAAACAGCACTGCTACTGTTCTACATTTACAGCTGTCACCTGCTTTTGTACGCTTCCCATTCCTTTGCTTCATAGCAATGACAGAAATAAAGACTTGCCACCCATTCAGCACACGCAGACTGTGCAGTGTGACCCTTCTCCCTCTGCTCAGTGGATGGAGAGATACCATACCTGGGATGTAGTTGCTCTGCGGCTCAATGCCTGCTGGGAAGTTAGTGTTCTCTGGGATAGAGTGACTGTAATCATCCAGCGGTGGGAACTCAGCTGGGATCTCTGTGTGCCGAGGCACCAGCACTGGGGGTAACACTGCACGATGGAAAAGAGAGAGAACAGTATTAGCAGCTTTAAAATAAAATGTCTGAGACCCTAGAAAATGAAGAGTAACCGGTTTGGAGTACCAGCCTTACATACACACAACACCAAAGTCGCTAATTAAGGAACACGATTTGATACTTGCTTCTGAAATAGCAGCAGCAGTTAAAGATGCTATTCTTAACACATCTCACTGGGGATGGGATGTGTGCTTAACTGAACACACCTAGGCTGTCTGCCTCTTCTAAGGCAAACAAACTAGCCTTCTCATTATTAAAAAAAGTTACATCACATGATTTGAAAATGGAGAAATTGCACCTAAAATGAAATGGCAAGGTAGGATTAGCATAAACATTCAGCCTGGCTCTGCAGGTTTGTACCAACATGCAGCAGAACTATCGACAGCTCCAGATGAAAGTCTCTCTCAGAGGCAGGAGGAGCGCCCAGAACAGGAAGCTCAGATGTGTTGGAAGCTATTCCTAACTTCAACTTAACAGTAACACTTTATCCTTAATACCAACAAGACCAGAGTGAGGCATGCATAGAACTCTGCTACAGTCCTCACTTTTATCTATACTGTGTGAGTTGGTTCTGGGCACACAGGGACACAATAGGAAGCTGGCAACAAGACAGCCTGCTCAACTTGTTTTTCATCGATTTTAAATGATATTTTCCCCCTGAGTGCAGATGCATAAATTATTCTGCTGCACGCAGTAATAGACTACCATCAATAATACATACGCTTTGGTTTTAAAACCCTACGCCTGCTGCTTTATTCAATTTTGAAATGCACTTATCTATCCCTCAGAAGGGACTCGGGGGGTCAGCAGTACCCGGGGTCTCCACTCGTTGGTAATGATAGGGATTCACGCAGACTTCGTCCTTCTTCATGTTGAAGGCGTACTCGCACATCTCCATGGCGCGCAGCTCATGGTGGCTATGCAGGTCCGGCCACCGCCACAGCCGGCAGTAGATGACATGGGGCAGCCCCTTGCGGTGGGACACCTGCAGCCGGCCATCCAGCGACCTGCAGGAGGAGCGAGAGGGGAGAGTTACTGGGCTGGCACTGAAACCCCATCACTGACCTCATCCCGCCAAGGAAGCCAATGTGAACGCTGCAGGCTCAGCGCGTGGCTGCTCCACGTTGTGGCACAATCCGCAGAGCCACCCGAACCCACTGAGACACTGCTGCACGATCCTCGCTGTCACGTGAAGCACACCTCTGAAAAATGCAAAAATGCTGTTCTACGTAACAGTCTAGCTTCAGATTCGTTAGTTTTCTGAAAAGACCTTAATTTGGAGGCACGAAGGAAGCTACCCCAGGTTAGAACACATTAATTTAAAGATAGTGTTTGTGTGTCCTAATACACAGACCATCTGCAGAGCTCTCACCGACTTACGCTGTGCATAACTAAGTCTTACAATACGTGCTGACAAAGCCAGACTTTTACCATACACAGAGACATGAATTTCCATCTCCACTCCCTGAAGTCCAGCCCCCTGCTTCTCTTGCTTTTCTTTATGACCGATATGAAACACTCCCGGGTTTTGGTGAAACACAGTGCTTCTTTTTTATTTTTGGTCAAGGAGAAAGAAAATTCAAATTTCATTTGGAATTATTTCCCTTGGTTCTTTGTGTTGGCAGCCAATCCAGAAAAACCAACCCAGCCCAACCCAAACCACACAAACAATTATTCAAGCAGTGGTTGTGCTGGTCTTGGCTGCCCTGGGAGACTTCCCAAAAACAGAGCTTGGTAACACGCACAACTCTTGTAAACACTGCTGCAACAGAAAGGAAGGAGAAACAGCACAGACCCCAGCTACACCTGATGTGGGGAGCAGGGAAACACATTGCAAAGCTGTTCATGGGAGGTATACAGAACAGCTATGCCATCACTGAGGGAATTGCTGGTACAGAGCACAAAACTCTAAAATCTGCAATCACATCACAGCTCCAAAATATGCACAACATCCACAGCTCTTACTTATTGCACACATGTACTTCTTCATATTGCCTCTGTGTCACACACGGGTCTTCTTCATGTGCAAAGCCAGAGCTCTGCTGGGTCCCACCCTTCAGACGGCTCTGAGCCCACCATCGGCTCTACTTCCCAGGTGTGCTCTCATGCCAAGCTACTTCTGAGCTCAGCAGAGAAGAAAGCAGGTTTTCCAGGTGCACATCTCATAAGGAACTGGTGGGGAAGGTGGGAAAACTGGACTGGTTTAACGGATGACACAGCGTCACTGTGTGTGCAGCCCTGCAGCCTGAACTGCTACCAGCAGTTACCTAAGCCAAAAGCAGCCTGAAAGCACAGCGCAGCTCCCAAGTGTTGCTATCACAGCTTTCCATAAGGAAAAAGAGATGGACTTTATGATCTTATCTAAAAAGACCTTTAAAATGACAGAGCCATATGCTTTGTTTTCAATCACAATAAGCTCCCCGTCTCCCCTCTCCCCTCAATAAGGAGATACAGTAAAAGAAATGACATTCCCCCAAAGCCCCGGAGGCCAATGACATTTTTATGATTGTGAAATCCCTCCTTAGGCTCTCTGCTGAAGGATGTGGGACAAAACAGTGCTTGTCTGCATTCACTGGGAAGAACACAGCCGAGTGTTCGGGTGGTTTATTTCCTCCTGCTGTCCTGCCTCAGCCCTCCAGGTGCATTTTCCCCACATGATGCTGGGGCTGAGCTGGGACAGGTTAACACTGTGCTCAGCATTTGATTGCTTCAACATTTCTCAAGCCCAGAGCCCTCAGAGGTGACCCACGCACACGTCTGCCTCTTCCATCTTCATGCAGAACAGCCAGATAACAAAAGGCTCCGTAGTGCACACAACCTTCAGCTCTCCTCAGCCGTGGTCTGATGCACAACCTGGCCCTGAGGGCTGACTGGAGTGTTTCCCAACACCACCTGAGAGCTGCACATCCAGGCCTCATTAAAACTTACAGAAGAAAGCTTCCATGAGGCTAGGGCTATATTCCTTCCTCCGACCTTTCTTTTAACCAGCCTGTGTTGAGCAGATCCCTATGTACAGTTGGTTTTATTATGCCATGCTACCTAACAGGATTTCTTCTCAAAATAGCAAAGCTTCTCTGCTCAACAATTCATTGCTGGCTGGATCTCCAAAAGCAGCCCCACTTCTTTTGGGACACTGTCTCTTCCTTCCCAGTCAGCTGCAGCTGAATACATCAGCTGTCCCCATGTTGCACTACAGGATTAAACAGCTAAGGCTGTGAAAAGCTCTTATTTTCAGTGTCAGTGTTCAGACCTGAGTGGGTGATCCAGCCTCTCACCACGTTCCCAACCAGCACATTTCCTGAGCCTGCAGGATAGAGGGAGAAAGTAGTGCAATCCACGGCCTGTAACCATTGCTGCCCGCCAGTGTGGGAGCATGTAGGCTATGAGACCCTGCAACGAAATGCAGGAACAATGCCAGAACATAGCCAGGCTGTCGAGGTGATTCCAGTTTGCAATGATTTATAACAAAACTGAATTCAGAAACAATTCACACAAAGCCCTGACGTGAGCAGGTCTCCTTCCAGCACCAGGGGTGCCAGCAATGAAGGCTGGGTCTGTGCACCCACAGCCAAGCTCAGGTGTGCTTGGTGAGAGTTGGCCTAACACGGAGGGCTGTAGCATGGCGTGTTCAAACACAAGGAGCAGGCAGTGGGGAGGTTACCCCACAGTTACAAGCAACAGTGATAAATACCACGTGAGGAAAGTGCCAAGACTCCAGGAGTGCAATCAGGGAATTTCGCTGCTTGCACAACAGCCTGAGGCCCAGCCAGAACAGCACTGCAGTACCACAAGAAGCCAACAGAAACCCCGTGGGCTGAACACTTTAGGACTGATCCATCCCTATCTGCTGCACCAAGCCACTTGCTAGGGAAGTCAAACACCCCAAACTGGGTGCTCCAAAGCCACTGCAGCTCAGAGAACAACGGCCAGCAGCGGCTCCTGATAGCAAAACCAGAGAGGGAAGGAAAAGAATGACAAAAACACTGAAGCTTTTTCTTTTTTTTAAACACTGTAACTGTTTGAAAAGGGGTGAGGAATAAATAGGAAAGCATTACACTGCAGAACAGGAATTTGATTTCTAGGCCTGATTATGTTTTCTCTTTTTTTAGAGCATGATTGAATTTGTGAGATCCTGAATCAGAAAAGGAAAACAATCACTACCACCACCACCACCACTTACTTTCCTCACTGGACATTTTGCAGCTATCTTTCCTGGGTAATGAACCTCTTCCCTGTACTCATTCTCCTTTAAAAGCGAAGCTCGAATCAGTGGAAGGCAGTAGTACAAATCAAGCAAAGTGATACGAGCCATAAGATACTGGAGGGATTTCTGTCAAGATTGGAAATTTCCAAATGCACTTCAACAGAGATTCAGTCCCCCGTCTCCCCTTCCCTTGCCATTCACATATATACACACTGCTGTTTGCTAAAGCCATCAGTTTTATATCACCATCATTAATCTTCCAAGAGAGCAAAACGCCTCCGTGCTCACATATCACCAGCATGTGCAAAACGGGGTTAAGGAAGGAGAAAAACAACCAGGAATAAAAAGTTTCAGTCACGCATTTCCATGGGGTTCTTATTAAAAACCACAAGCAGAAGCTGGTTTTTAAAGCCATGACAAATAAGCCAGCAGTACGCTCTAAAAGGCACCAGGAATTATGGCCACAGGCTGTGAGTTTCTCTCAAGCACAAAACATGATAAGTAGTTCCTTACTGGTCCTGCATCTGGTCTACACCAGGAAAGCAAGCGTTTATTCTTGTAGCAGAATCTGGCTTTTGTGCATACAGCACTGAAATATCCACAGGGCTTTGCTGAAAACTTGGATAAAATCTCAGCTTTCCCTGAATACTGGCCAAATGAAAAACACTGAATAAAAAAAATGACCTATGCAGCACATTCGTAATTCAAAAGCTGATCCCTTGCCATCTCTTTCCCCTCAATTTGCTCAGCATCACTGACTTTTCCAATTTCTGGAGTAGTTTTAACAATACTTTCATTCACGCTCTAGAAACAGAAGTTACCTGTGTCCAACTGAGCCTTGCAATGCACCTTACCACACCACCACAGAAGAAACTAATCATTAATACTGAGCACTTACATTTGTGGAAACTGAGAAGAATTAGCAAACACCCAGCTAGCCTGCAGCACATCTCTATGGAAAGGATCCATTTCTCTCTGGTCTCTCTCACCTTATTCTTACTAAGAATGCTTACTCTTCCCTCCCTTGGACTTGGAAGGAAACACGTCTCCTCTACGCCTGTAGATCCATCTCTAGGGAGACAGATGCTCCTGACCCTCACAGCAGTGGAGCAGAAGGCACAAAGGATGAAGCAATGGACAGAGCTGGGAGACCACGCCAAGGCGTTAGGTGAGCACTGCAGGTGTACTTACAGGCAGGCACAGGACCAGAGGCAGCGAGCGGCACAGCTCCATGCATCCGCTGCCCACCAGGTCTTGAGCAGAGACCGCCACAGCCTACAGCATCAGGTGGAGAGTTTACAGGTAGGCAGTAAATCCCAATTCTTCTGATGCTGCATAATTCTTCTAGTCTACTCTCATCCGCTCTGGGCTTGCAAAGCAGCTGACAGTACAGAAATGACCAGCGCTCCCATGTGTGCTTCCTACCGCCTATTTACAGCTCTCCGTCTGTCCCAGGGCTTTGCAGATTTCCCCTTCCCCCCACCTGAAAGCTGAAGAAATGCAGCACAGAGAGTTGATGTCAGGATCAGATTATGACAGCATGAGTCATTTATTAAGATTCCAGTAATGCTAAGCTCTTTAGCAGGTGCCTTGAGACCATATTTTGCAGAGTCTAATTTCAGATTCAGACATAAGTACGTTTTATTGGTTTACCATAAACTGTCTGCCCATTGTTGCTCCTTCAGAGCCTCCTGCTGCTGGTCCTGCACTGCTCAGCTCTCCCCTCTGAGCTCGGCCACTTCTGCTCTCTGATGGCACACAGATAAAAGCTCTGTTTCATTTACATTTCTTCAAAGATGCATC